ATTTTATTTATTTATTTATTTACTTATTTATTTATTTATTTATTTTTGGAACTGGGGATTGAACTCAGGCCCTTGCACTTGCCAGGGAAGTGCTTATTCTACAGAGCTATCTGCCTGGCCCCTTTGAGGCTCTTTTATATCTCTGTTTTAATTCTTTAATTTTTTTCCGCAAAACATGTTGTGGTTTTGATAAACACTGAGTTGGATCTGTTTACTGCTTTGAATAGTATGAACATTCTTGTAGTCCATGAGCGGGGAAATCTTCCCATTCCTGCCTTTTCAACTTCTTTCTTCACTGTCTTACAGTTTTCAGTATAAAGGTTGTCTTAGCTACTTTCTCATACAGCTCAGCATTTGTAGAGGTTTCAGTCCGTAGTCAGATGGCTCCACCGCAGAGTGGTGTAGCAGAGGGGCACTACAAGGAGAGATAGCTCATGGTGGACAGCAGGCAGGCAAGCAGTGGAGTATGACAGAAGCAGCAGGAGTAGCAACAGCAACAGCTGTGTTCTGTCCCTTACATTCTACCTAGGCTATGCCCTTAGGTGGGTAGCCTGTCCAGGGAGGGCCTTCCCATTTCCACATCCAGAACTACATCAGACCAAACAGTGGACTAACTTAGTAGTCATACACCCTTGATCCTAGCACTACACACTCTAGATTCAACTACTTCTGAAAAGCCTCACCTATGACCATAGGGATATCTAGATACAAACCAGCTCCACAGTGTTTTACCTTCTATGTTAAATTTATTCTTAAGATCGAGTTGTAGTGGTACAAATCTGTAGTCCCAGCCACTCAAGAGACTGAGCTAGGAGGATTGCTTAAGTCCAAGAGCTTGAGTGAATGTAATAAGACCATATCTCAAAGAAACCACACAAGACATATGTAGGGGATGGGGGATAGCTCAGTGGTCTAAGTGCTGCCTGGCAAGTGCAAACACTCAGGTTCAATCCCTGATACTGTATACTGTGCTGCCCCCAAAACCCCATGTGTGTCGTGCTGGCCACTGAAAGCAGGAATGGGTGGGGCTTACCAGTAACCCCAGCACTAGGGAGGCTGAGATAGAAGGATCACTATAAGTTTGTACTCTGTGAAAAATAAAACAAACCCTTAATTGGTTGCTATTTTTTTTTTCTTTTTTTGTATTTTAGGGAAGGGTCTACAGGGTGTTCAGGGTCTCACTACTGCATCAGACTTGTAGTGATCTGCCTATTTACAGCCTCCCAAGAGCTGGGATTATAGGCACGTGCAACCACGCCCAGTCTCAATTGCCATCTCAGCATGCCCCGTGCTTTAGTACACTGAGCTTTTTGGCTGGCCCTTGGTTCCTATTTTTTTTTTGGTGGGGGGGAACCGGGGATTGAACTCAGGCCCTTGCGCTTGCCAGGGAAGCGCTTATTCTACTGAGCCATCTCCCCAGCCCCTCCTTGGTTGCTATTTTAAATGGGGTTGTTTTGTTTTCTGTCTTTGCACTGAGCTATGTCCCCGGTTCTCTTTGATTCTGAGACAAGGCTTCTTTCACTGAGTTACCCAGGCTGAGCTTAACATCAAGATCTTTCTGCTTCAGCTTCCCATTGTATAGGATTAGTTCCCTTCCTTTCTTTCCTTCCTTCCTTCCTTGCTTCCTTCCTTCTTTCCTTCCTTTCACAAGATAATATTTTTATAGCTAAATGATGAGATTTTTTTGAGGCAGGATCTTGTAAAATAGCTCATATTGGCCTCAAACTTGTGATCCTCCTGCCTTAGTCTCCTGAGTGCTGAGATTATAGGTGTGTACCATAATGCTTCACTTAGCATATTTTTATATGTTGATTTTGTATTCTGCACCTTTACTCAATTCTTTTATTGGTTCTAATAAGTGTTTTTGTGGAGTCTTCCTCCTTCCAAATATTTAACACAAGTAACTCATGTGTAGCATTCCACCAGTCTCCCAGCTCATGTGGGGAATGCTGTGGTCAGTAGCCAGATCTTCCCAGTTCCCTGCACTGTTATGACTTTATTTATTTATTTATTTTTAAATTTATGTATTTGGTACAGGGTATCACTAAATCATCCCAGTTCTCTGCAGTTATGACTTTATTTATTTTTAAATTTATGTATTTGGTACAGGGTACCACTACACAGCTTGGACTTGAAGTGATCATCCTGTTTTCAGCCCCCCCCCCCCCCCGCCCCGTGCTAGGATTACAGGCATGCCCCTTTAAACCCGAACTTAATCTCCAGCTCAGCGTGCCCCAGAAGCTGGGCCGGCCTAGATTGGGATGCCGGGGATTGAACCCCGGTCCCTACACTTGCCTAAGCAGGTGCTTAGTCCTCTGAGCTAGCTCACCAGCCCTAGGACTTCATTCTTTGTTTCTCTCTTATTTTTAGTATCAAAGACAACATGATGTGCTTCTTGCCAAGAAAGGGTATTCCATTGCTCATTTAAAAAATCTCCTTCCTCTCACAGGAGAAGCAAAGAACCGAAAGTATAACCCATCGAGTTTCCATCGGTTTGATTTATTTGGAGTCCCCACACCGCATTTTAATGATGGAAAAGCTGTGGCAAAAAGCTTGCATTGGCTCCATGAACTACAAATGTAAGTTTAGTTAGACTGTGCCTAGGACTCAGAGTTAGATCTTGGACATTTGGAAAGATGTTCATTGTTCATTTTTTTTTGGAGAATTACTGACATAATTCAAACATAAAATTAGAAAAATTTTCTTCCACTTCTGATATGTATTCTGTCCAATTCCTCCCACAGTAGACATGACACCAGTTTTTGTTTGTACCATTCTGAAATTTAGGAACTTACAGATCAATATAAATGCATGTATACATGTATATTTATTTATTTTTTATGTTTATTTTATTTTGTCTTTTTGAGATAGGGTTTCAATATGCAGTTCAGGCTGGCCATGGACTCCCTTGGTAGCCCAGGTTGGCTTTGAACTCACAGTAATCTTCCTGCGTCATCCTCCTGCCTCAGCCTCCTGAGGCATGAGCCACCATGCCCGGCAGCTTGTGTTACTTTGTATACCTGAGACAACAAACACATATTTTGTGTTCATAAAAATTCCTTGTCATGATTAAAAAATAAGGTTGTAAATAATGCAGTGATATAGTGGGTTCAATGTAAAAATTAGTGTTCTTCCCCCAAGGTATGCCCATGTCCCAATTCTTAGAATCTGTGAATGATACCTTAGATGGAAAAAGGATTTTGTGTATGTAATTAAGGATACTAAGATAAGAGAGATCATCCTGGATTATTATCTGAGTGGATTACTCTGGTACCTGGATCACCATACACAGAAATGATAAATTCCCTTAGAATGTGGGAGGGAAATTTGAGGCAAAAGAAAAGACGTCAGGAACAGGTGATGAAGAGAGATCCAGAAACTGGAGTACTGTGGCTATAAACTAAGAACACAGAGTAATGCCAGTAGTGACCAGGCCCTGGAAAAAGAAAGGGAAGGATTCTCTTCTAGAGCGTTTGGAAGAAATGAGGGCTTGCTTACACCTTGATTTCATTCTTCTGGTCTCCAGAACTGTGAGAATACATTTCAGTTGCCTTAGCAAGCTTAAGATACTTTGTTACTGCAACCACAGGGAACCCATACACCAGGCCTACATTCCTTCTTTCCTTTTCTCCCTCCATCCCTTTTTTCCTTCCTACTTCTTCTGTCTGTGGTACTGGAATCTAACTCATTGCCTTTGCCCTGAGCTATTTGTATCCCTAGCCCTTTTTATATTTTATTTTGGTTCAGAGTTTCAGTTATCAAGTTGCCCAGGCTTGGCTCAAATTTGTGATTCATCTGCCTCAGCCTCCCCTAGTACTAGGATTACAGGCCTGTGTCACCAGGTCTGCTTCAGCCCTGCAGTCTATCTTTCAGTAGTAGATGGTGGTTGTTCTGCCTGTTGACATCTAGGCTTTCATAACCTCACGTATTAGTCACTTTCCCCATCACTGGTACAAAATGCCTGACACCCTCAACCCGAAGGAGCAGAGGTTTAACTTCACTTATGGTTTCAGGGGTTTTCGTGCATGTTTGAGGCTCCCAGGCAGGATGTCAGGGTGGCATGGCAGAGCCAAGCTGCTGAGTTCCTGGTGGCCAGAAAGCAGAGCAGCAGAAGTGCCTGAGAAGAGGAGGCCAGGGCTCAGACTTGGTACCGATGGTCATGTCTCTATGACTCACACAGATGCACCCAGAGGTGTGCTTTAAAATCCCCTGGGTGGCCAGGTGTGCTGGTGCACATCTATAACCCTAGAACTCAGGGGGCTGAGGCAGGAGAATTGCCTTGAGTTTGAGGTGAGGCTGGACTACATATTGATTCAAAGCCACCCTGAACTAGAGTGAGACCCTGTTTCCAAGAACAGCTGGGTGTGGTGGTGCAAGCCTAAGTGTTCCAGCACGTGGGAGGTGGAGGCAGGATGATTACTGAGTTGGAAGCCAGCCTGGGCTACATAAATGAATTCATGGCCATCCTGCACTACATAGTGAGACCCTGTCTCAAAAACAAAACGAAACAAAGCCCAAGCAGACAACCAAGCTCCAACCAGCCCCTCAGTTTCCTGAGCCAATCAAGCTGACATGATTAAACTTAACAAGCATGGTAGTTCTTTAGAATATCTTAAGAGCAAAGTCTTCCTATTATTACCAAGGACATATTTAGTAATGCTTTGGGGTAGTTATAGAAAAGCACACCAAGGGTGGGGCATATAGCTCTGCAGCACAAACACGTGCCTGGCAAGCACAAAGTCTTGAGTTCAACTTCTGGTACCAAAAACAAAAAGAGAGAGAAACACGCTGATTTATACATGCAGGCAATATGCAGGGTGTGTTTCCCTCTTATTTGTCTCTATCCTCTTGGGAACATTATTCATGGAATACTATTTTATTCGATCATACTTTTTGTACTTTCAAACTTCATAGGAATATTGTTATAAGTAATAAAGAAATTCTTAGTTCCTTTGACTCATCAGATTTAAAAGAATTCAGTACTTTATCAGTGCAAATTTTGTTATAAAGTCACACAAGTTTTTTATGTTTTAAAGCATCTTTTTTTTTTTTTATTTAGTACAGGGTCTATAGGGTCTCACTATGTACATAGGACTCGTAGTGATCCTCCTGTTTACAGCCTCCCAAGTGCTGGGATTACAGGCGTGCGACACCATGAGGCATCTATTTTTATATGCACTATTTAATGTAAAATTGGTATACTCTCAACTTGTAAGGGATATATTTCTTTTTTAAAATAAAAGAACTTGATTTATTTAATGTTATTGATATACTTTTTATTTTAAAGAGAATACAAAATAGTAATAAAAAATTAGAATTGATACAGAATTTCACTAAGTAAAATAACGGATGGGCCGAGGAGATGGCTCAGTAGAATAAGCACTTCCCTGGCAAGCACAAGGGCCTGCGTTCAATCCCCGGTTCTGAGAAAAAAAATAAAATAAAATAAAATAACGGAAATTCGACAGTGTTTGTTGTATTACATAGTGTCTTCAATTTAGTAGTTCAGATTACCAGATAAGAGGTGTATTTCCCTGTGAAGAGTATGTGCTAGTGAGATTCGGGGTATGTGGTACTACATCAGTTCCCTGATGGGAGTTAGCATAGCTCTCAGGGTGACTGGACGGATTTGCTGAAGACAGAAGCCATCCTGGCTGTGAGTGGCCCCACCCACAGGTGGATGGGATAAAAGGAAAGCCCATTCCTGCTCTTGCTACTGTCTACCTATCTTTTGTTTTTTATTTTGTATTTTTAGGGAAGTGTCTACAGGGTGTTCGGGGTCTCACTACTAGATCAGACTGGTAGTGATCCACCTGTTCACAGCCTCCCAACAGCTGGGCTTATAGGCGAGCACCACCACGCCCAGTCTCAGTTGCTGTTTTAGCTTGCGCTGGGGGCAGGGCCAGCACAGCAGGCCCGGGGATCAAACCCCAGTCCCTGTACCTGCTTGCAGTTACTTTAATCTGCTGAGCTCTTTGGCTGGCCCTCATCTACCTGTCTTGCTGTGGGCTGCTTCTCCTCTGTCATGCTGTCTTGCCTCAGAGCCAGTGGACTAGAGACTGAAATCTCTACAAACTGCAAGCTAAAATAAACCTTCCTCCTTTCATTTCTAGGTGTCCGGTATAGTGCTCCAGCAAGGAGAAAAGTAACCAAGACAAAATATTAAACAATTCTTTCCATGTGTTTTCGTTTTCCTTCACATTTTCTGAGTCAAAAAAAAAAAAAAAAAAAAGGTATATAGGTAAAGTCTAAAGTCAGTGAAAGTTTAAAGACTATAATTTGAGCAAATGGCGTTGACAATCTAATAATCAGCTGCAAATCAGGTGTGGTGGCAAACCCAGGATTCCACCACTATAACCTCAGCACTTGGGAGGCTGAAGCAGGAGGATTATCTAGAGTTAGAGGTTAGCCTGGACCGCATAGTGAGTTCAAGGCCAGCCTGCGTTACATAGTAAGACCCTGTCTCAAAAACTAAAAATAAATAAATGAACCAAATAAAAATCCATTGTAGATTAAAAAAAAAAAAAATCAGTTGTAGAGCCAGGTGCCTGAGATCGCAACCTTTGGGAGCCTGAGGCAGTATGACCACAAGTTCAAAGTCAACCGACATACATAGTAAATTCAAGAATAGTGTGGACTACATAGCAACTACATAGCGAGACTATCTCAAAAACGAAATTAAAAATTAAATCAGCTCCAAGGGGTATAGTTTAAAAATACAGGGATGATACAAGTAAGGACCATAAGGCACAGAATCAACCCTTTCCTTCCTTTCTCTCTTTCTTTCATTCATTCATTCGTTCTTTCTTTCAAGACTGGTTTTGCTTTATAGTCCAGGCTGGCCTTGAACTCTCAGATGCTCTGCCTGGCTCAGCCTCCCAAGTGCCGAAAAAGCCCCAC